CCTCTTCTCCTCGTGTTCTTCTCTCTTGCTTTTCGAGGGGATCGACTTGAATCGAATTGAAATTGGTAGCTTTGTACGAAACGAAAACTCGTGAAGAATTACTCGGAAGACTGTTTCGAATATAAAAATTCCTTTAAATTTAATATATAATAGTTTAATAAAAAATATTGATTTGTGAAATAAATATTTATTTTATTTTAAATTATTATAAAAATATTAATTCGTGGAATTCTATTATTTAAATTTAGATTGTAATGGTATTAAGATTTTATTTATATTTTTATCCAATAGTTCTGTATATTATTTTTTTGATAGATATTAAATTTGTTTGTATGCGTAAGATAATCGAAAAATTATATAAAAAGTGGCAAATATTGTCTCTGATAAAGAATAAAAATTCTCTAAAAGATAATTATATTATCATCTGATGCGTAGTTTAAATTAAATGTACTTTGTCGAAGAAAATTTAACTTGTAAATAATAGAATATTTTTCGTTCTTCTGGAAAAGGAAAGGAGAAGGAATCGACGAGGAATAATCGTTTTTGTTATGAATCCTTTAATTCTGGGGTGGGAGCTGATTAGCTTCTTGCTTGAAGCTCCGATCTTGGTTGACCAGTGATTGGCCGACTAATTCGAGTGTTAATTGTTCGGCTGATTTGAATACCGATCGAATCGAACATCTTAAGAATCGATCTCTAACGAGAACTCGCTAACCGTTTCTCGATCGAACTGATCAGAAATAGATTAACTGTTCCAGGCGGCCATAGATTGACAGTTCGGAATATCGATCAATTTCTTATTCCATCATCTCCGATTCTAATTGCTTTTTAAAACCCAAAGTAACAGTGCATTTCTTCGATCAATTTTTCTTTTCGTGGAACTTTTACTTATCACTTTTTAATCTTCATATTCATTCATCCAATTCGAATTAAGAAAACTTAATATATTTATCATTATTTATTAGACACATACATTATACGCATATATATAATAATCAAGATTACCAAAAGAAATTTTCTTCTTCAATTCAGAACAACAAGTATATAAAACTTATGCGTTTATACAAAAAGTTCTCCCTATCCTATTACAAATTTTCCAAAACCACTCAAAGCATCGAGTCAATTATCCTTAGTTGACCGCCATTCTAACGATTACCAATTAATTTCAAGATGCAACATCAAGGTATCTTTTGCATCGATCATTTTACATCGCAAAATCCTTGTTGAAAACTCACTTACGGAACGAGATTCTTTTTTTTTTTTTCGTGGCCGCGAAAAATTCGGAGACGAGATGGAATCAATGTATGAAATTGTAATCGAAGGTGAAGAACTGTGCGGCTGAGCGTGGCCGGAGTGGAGAGATGCCGTTAACGGTAACCCGTGGCAACCCGTGCCGCGTCCCAGCATCGATCCAAGTTTTATCGAAGCGGCCCAGCCCCGCCCTGCCTCCGCGAGGCCGCTCGAAAATTCGACTTTATCGCGGGAATTGAAATGCGGCCTACTCGATCCGCGTAAACAAATTCCAGGTATCCCCTCGAATCGTTCCTTCGAACGTCAGCTGCCCCTCATCTCGCTACCGACAACTTTGCGAAGATTATTCTATTCGTCGTTTCATATATATTTTTAATTGCAATGGAAAACAAGTTTTTCAACTACGTATTTTTTTTCTTAACCCGTAGAATTATACCGGTCGAAGGAAATATAATTTCTGTGTGAACGGAAGTTACAGAATGGAATCGAAGGATTTAAGATGGTGCGAATTTTTTAATAAAATTTCTACCCTCCTTTCGAATCCTTCTATTTCTCAAATTTAACGCCCGTTATAGAATCGTATTTAAAAAGAATATACAAACTTTCAAACAAAGTATACGCTTGTAAAAAGAATTGGAAAAAAGACGCGTAATAAGTAAAATATTGTTTCTTCGTAACACGTGCGTAAACGTAAACGATTCCCCCTTGGATATAAAACTTGTCGTCGATCTCCTCCTGGGGGAGGGGGGGGAATTCGAGGCAATAAAACGACTCGATCGTGAACAAAAAAAGAAAAAACAACGAATTACTTCTGTCGTTCGCTTCTGAGGATTTTTCGGATGTTTCCACTCGAGCTGCTCCTCCCTCCCTCCTCCCTCCGATATTGTACCGAATATTCTTTTCCGTATCGGCCGCGACGAGAGAGTAAGCGTCAAAAATATTTCCCCAAGCGTTCCCTTCCCCCCACTCCGCTCCATTGTCGCGCTTTTCCATCCCTTTGTCACGTACCGATCAACAAACGGTTTCCCCGTTCGTTCATTATCCGGCCGGTATTTCGTTCTCCCACCCATATTTTTAAAAACATCCCCCTCCCCCCCGATATTTTAAGTTTCCATCCTCCCTCGATTCTCCCTCGAATCGATTCCAACTTTATCCTTCACCGCTCGTTTCCCCCCCTCCTCCCTTAACGATCCGTTTGTTTCGTTCGTTATCAAAGGAAAAAACGTTTCAGCACCGGTTACACACAGTACGGCTACATAGCCACTTCGAATCGAATCGAATCGAATCGAATCAAATCGAATCTTCATCCCCATTTACGCTTCATCCCAAGCACACGGTTGCAATATTCGTACACGGTGCACGCAGGGAACGAGGTTTCCACCAGGTTTTTCTCTTCAATTTCTCGAACTATCCTCTTTCTTTTTTCTTTTTTCCACGCGATTTCGAAAGTATTGCGAATTTGTAAATTCTATATATCTACGAATAAACGAATGGATAAGGTGGATACCTCGCTCGCTGCGGGACGAGGGATCTCTCGATCTTTTTTTTTTTTTTTTTTTTTTCTTACGCCCAGTCCGTGCAACGACTATCGGAAATGCGACGAGTAAGCGTAGGGGTATATTATATGCGAGTAAAAAAAAAAAGTCAAGATCGTACATCGTGGGCAAAACTGTAATAAAACGATCCTCTATTGTGATCCTCTATACCTGAAGATATATATATATAGAGGTTTGGTTGAGCTGTTCATTTTTTTCAGCCTGGGAAAAACTAGATAATTAGTTGGCAGTTCAGGCAGGATAGAGTTAATAGTCGCCCAGTGATTGCGGTTTTGCCTCACGATATATCGATTCTACCACATATATAGAGTGTGGTCCAATGATCAGACTATCGATAGGCAGGAGAGAGAGAGAGAGATAGAGAGATAGATAGGTAGAGAGAGAGATAGAGAGAGAAAAAGATATATGTTATAAACGTCGTGTCCCCTACTCACCTCCGTAGTTCGGCCTTACTCTTTTATCGTAACTGACGGAGAACGAGTCCAATATCGCGGAGATGTTGACGTCATTCAGCATACTGCCTCCGCCGGTTCTGTAATATAAAAAGGATAACGATTATTTTTTTCCTTTTTTTTTTTCTCTCAGAATTAAACTTAGGGTTAAAGAAAGAGAGGTTCTGGCTCTTTTACGTTTAGTTTGTTAAGTTTGTTAAGTTACGAGACAACCGTGTTTCGCACAACACGTGCACATACTTTTTAATATGACGTATCCCGTGCAGGGATGCAGGGAGGGGGAGGGTGGTCTGATGTTTAAACCGGAGGATATTAAAGTTTCATCTAATAGCGGCACGACGAAGTTTGAAAAAAGAATTTTAGAACCTTCTCTGTACGCGTGTACTGCGTTTTAATTATGAAAGAGCGATGCGACCGCTACTAAATTTAGGACACCGACTTCTTCTCATCCGTCTCTTTCTGCACCCGTGGAACGAGCATCATCCTTAGTAGCTCGAGCTATGTTTATTTTTATTTTTGATTTCTCTTCGTTTTCCACCAATCCCCTTCTCTACCTTCTTCTTCTTCTTCTTCTTCTTCTTTCTTTTTTTCGTGAACGCTCGAATTTTTTTATTCATGCATTCGTGCAAGGAACTTTAGTTTACTTCTGCATCGGTGTGCACGTGTATACATATATATATATATATATATATATATATATATATATATATATA